CCCAGTTTTAAAACTTGCAGATTGAGACTACTGGCATTTCTGCTGGGTTCTTCTCCTCCTGACTCTTATCCACCACCCCTCTCCAGCCAGGATGGGCAATAAACCTGCAGAAGCCACAGGGTGACAGATGGAGCTAACACCAGGAGCCCTAACGAGCCACATAAACCAGATTGAACAGCAAAGTCCATTTGCTGGCTGGGGACCCCGGATATCCAAGCCAACCATTTCTGCCCGTCTTTCCCCATTCCCTTCCGTTTGCTTTATTAAACAAGTGGCACAACCAGCCCCAGCCGCTGCCTCCTGCCTTTGCCCACCTGTGATCCCAGCAGCTCCTGGAGCAAACACAAGAGGCAGGCGGCACGTGCAGACACCTGAGCAGCAAAAAGCAGGCTTGGGATGGGAGAGCAGAGCACTGCCACCAGAGCAGGTCAGTATGCACAGGTGTAAGATTTGGCTCCTGCTTTAATATCTATTTATTCAGCCCAAACTAATAGCCCGTGGCTTGGCCCCCACTACCAAGTGATCTGTTCTTCCACAAAGCACTTCACTTCGGCTCAGAGGCTGGGCACTGATTAAAAAGGGCTTGTGCCACATTCAAAAAAATATTTCAATTGATAAAAACAAACCAACCACCCAGCTGAGGCTGAGTAATCTGCTGGCAGGAGACATGAATGAAGTGGAGCTGAGCACAAATGTTCTCCTGGACTAAACATATCCAAAAATAGGCAGAAGTAAAGAGAAAATAAGGGAGAAGGATGAAGAGAAAACAAGGGTGAATGCAGCATGTGCTGCCCATCCGATGCAGAGAGGGATGCAGGTCTCAGAGACAGCCTGGGTGGGCCCTGCAAACACCTGGACCAGAGGTGGGAAGGAAGGGGGGGAGATCCAACCGGATCACACTCACAGGGTAAAGAGGAGTTTGTATGTATAGACGGACAATTATGGTAAGATTTAATTATTTGGGATCTTTCCAAATAAACTTTTAATATATTCTTTAAAACCCTGGAACATCAAGATATCCCTAAACTTTGGCAAAGAAAGCGAGGAAACAAGATGGATTTCTGCAGCAGTGACACCTTTTCCAAGCTCTGCTCACAGATGATACCATGATGCCATGTCCCAGGTCTGAGGGCTCTCCCTGAAGGCTCCTCCAAGCACACCCTTTCTCCTCCTGATTTCTACTAGACAGAAGAAAAAAAGAGTGGCAATAAGCCTTTGCTATATACATAGCCCCTTGTCCAACTGGCCTTCCAGCCTAAGGAAGGACGTGACTGGACAGCTCTCCTCTTCGCTTCTCCAGGTCTCAAGAGGCAGAATGGTTTTTATAGGGCCGGGTTGGCTCCAGGCATAGGGTGTCAAGGCAGCAGCAAACCCAGGCAGGGAAAGCAATCACGGCTTCCCTTCCACTCCGCTTGAGCCCCCCAAAACCACATGTATGCCGGTGCTAAAGGAAGGATCCTCCAGCAGAAGCTGCCTGCGGAGCTTCTCCCTAGGGTCCTCCAGCATCTCACCCCTGCTCCCATCCCCAGGCACTGTCCTTGGCCTCTGCACCCCTCTGAAGACCTGGGACTGCACTGGCCGTTGCCATCACTGCAAACCCAGCAGCAGTAACAAGCGTGGCCCATAGGAGTCAGCCTTTCCAGCAGGAGCCAGCCATGCTTCTCCCTCTTTCAGGGCTGCGCAGGCTCTTTGCAGACGCCCACCCAGAAAACCGTGCCTGTAAAATAACTTCAGAGCTCCGACTGCTTGAAGCTGGCGCAGCTGAAGGGAACCCGCTTCCAGAGATAACCAAGTGTGGCTGCCTGCCCAGTTTCAACAAAAGATGGATTTTGTAAAGCCAACTAAAACTATGCCATCCATTAGCAGAACTACAAAGCAGAACATTTTAAAGTTAATTGGTTTTGCAATTAAAAGATACACAGAACATGTGATGCAATTAATTTTACATAAACTTGGTCAGGAATTAAACCTAAAAGCACTTGGTTACTTCCTTAACTGAAGCATATGTTTACTTCCAACACAACCAGCTTCTTTGCATACCAAAACGGGAGGCACTGAAACGCTCACAGACTAATGCAGCCAGCACAGCTCTGCACCGCTGTATTTTTTTCAAAAGCTGCCTCGTTTTGGAGATGATTTGAGGTAAATCACGAAGGCCAGTTTGGAAAGCTGGCAGGACCACAAGTGGGGACGGAGCAGTTTCCTGCCCCTTCCCCCTGGGAATTATCCATCAGCAGGGTATAAATGTTAATCCAGCAGCGTATGGTTCTCAGTTGATAAATGTGTGCAGTTGTTTAGTTCTGAACAGCTGAGTGGGTTTTTCAGAAGTTCAGCTGCTGAAAAAGCTCCAAGTCTGAGTTTTCAATGTACTGGCTGGTTCTTACCAAGAGAGCCGGCAGCGGGACTTTCTGGCTAAGGCATCCTTGCTTGTAGCGTGTCAGGAATCACAGAATTGAAGGGGTTGGAAGGGACCTCGAAAGATCATCGGGTACAACCCCCCTGCCAAAGCAGGTTCCTTAGAGCAGGCTGCCCAGGTAGGCATCCAGACAGGCCCTGAGTATCTCTAGAGAAGGAGACTCTGCAACCTCCCTGGGCAGCCTGTCCCAGTGCTCCGTCACCCTCACCGTGAAGAAGTTCTTTTGCATCTTGGTGCGGAACTGCCTGTGCTCCATCTTGTGACCATTACTCCTTGTCCTGTCCCTGCAAACCACTGAAAAGAGGTTGGCCAAATCCCTCTGTCTCCCACGCCTCAGGTAATTATACACACTGATAAGATCCCCTCTCAGTCTTTTCTTCTCCAGGCTGAACAGACCCTGGTCTCTCAGCCTTTCCTAATAAGAAAGATGCTCCAGGCCCCATATCATCTTTGTGGCCCTCCACTGGACTCTTTCCAGGAGATCCCTGTCTTTTTTGTACTGGGGAGCCCAGAACTGGACCCAGTACTACAGGTGAAGCCTGATCAGGGCAGAGTAGATGGGGAGGATCACCTCCCTTGACCTGCTGGCCACGCTCCTTTTAATGCACCCCAGGATCCCATTGGCCCTCTTGGCCACGAGGGCACAGTGCTGGCTCATGGTCAACCTGTCATCCACCAGGACCCCCAGGTCCTTCTCCTCAGAGCTCCTCTCCAGCAGGTCGTTGCCCAGCCTGTACTGAAACATGCAGTTGTTCCTTCCCAGGTGCAGGACTCTACACTTGCTCTTGTTAAACCTCATTTGGTTTCTTCCTGCCCATCTCTGCAGCCTGTCCAGGTCTCGCTGAATGGCAGCACAGCCTTCTGGCATGTCAGCCACTCCTCCCAGCTTTGTGTCATCGGCGTACTTGCTGAGGGCAGACACGATTCCCTCATCAAGGTTGTTGATGAAGATGTTGAACAAGACTGGACCCAGCACTGACCCCTGGGGAACACCGCTAGTCACAGGCCTCCAGCCAGACTCTGTGATGCTGGTCACCACTCCCTGAGCTCGGCCAGTCAGCCAGTTCTCAACCCACCTTACTGTCCACTCCTCTATCCCACACTTTCTCAGCTTTGCTAGCAGGATGTCATGGGAGACAGTATCAAAAGCCTTGCTAGAGTCAAGGTAGATGACATCCACTGCTCTCTCCCCATCTACCCAGCTGGTTATGCCATCATAGAAGGCAAGGAGGTTGGTCATGCACAACTTCGCCTTGGTAAATCCATGCTGACTACTCCTCATAACCTTCTTCTCTTCCAATTGCTTGGAGATGCCATCCAGAACAAGCTGCTCCAGCACCTTTCCAGGGACAGAGGTGGGATTGACTGGCCTGTAGTTTCCCAGATCCTTCTTGCCCTTCTTGAAGAATGGAGTTACATTGGCTATCCTTCAATCTTCAGGCACCTCTCCTGTTCTCCAGGACCTTTCAAAGATGACAGAGAGTGGTTTGGCAACCATCTCTGCCAAAACTTATCTTTTATCTCTTTTGCAAGCCTCATCTCTAGGTGGGCTTTAGCCTTCCTTGTCACATCCCTGCAGGCCCTGACAACAGTTCTATACTCCTCCCAAGAGGACAGGCCCTTTTCCCACATTTCATAAACCTTCCTCTTCCTTTTGATCTTATCAATGAGCTCCTTGATCATCCACACAGGTTTCCTGCACCCATTCCCTGATTTCCTACTCTTAGGGATGCACAGATCCTGAGGTTGGAAGAAGTGCTGCTTAAACGTAGCCCAACTCTCACATGCACCCTTGCCTTCTAGCAGCCTAGCCTATGAGATACTCCCAAGCAAGTCCCAGAAGAGGTCGAAGTTGGCTCTCCAAAAGTCCAGTGGTACAGTCTTGCTTTTAGCCTTACTTCTTCCACCAAGTTCCATCTCAAACTCAACCATCTCATGGTTGCTGCATGGCTGCATGTCCTCATCCTTCACTCACCACTGTAATAGCAGAACTAGGCCAAATATTATGGTTGTTATATGGACAAATTGTGTTTTTGTTTTTTTGTTTTTTTTTTGCAACTTCATACCAGTGCCAGGATGACTGTCTTGCATACAGAGGGGATTTTGGGGGATGCTTTCCAGTCTATAAGGGATCGTCTAGAGGTGAAACATCAGCATCCATGTCTGTGTGAGGTGCTGGTGAATGCAAACACTGGAAAATTTGTCTCTTATTGAAAGGATGTTAAACAGTAACAAGCCAGGTATGTTATTTTTGACAAATACAAAATTACCTGAAAGCAGATGTTTCAGAGGAATCATGATTATTCACACCTGTGGATCAAACATCAGGAAAAATTCAGAGAAGAAAACCTTAGGTGGCAGATGAATTTCTCATCACTTTAAATGTTTTTGTTTTTTTTTTTTCCTTTTTTGTTGTTGTTTTCCTTAACAAAGGAAAACATACACTTCTAGCAAGACTAACACCATTTAAAACATCCCCAAAGGGTTAAATATCTTCACAGTTGAAAAAACGTAATTCCTTTTGGACTGAGACAAATATTGTGTGTTGCTTTTGGGCTTCAAAAAAGGGTATTCTCTCTCTCTCTTTTTTTTTTTTTTTTTTTAAATCATTCCCCAGCACTGCTTTGCTTTGAACAGCATCATTTCTAGGCAGGTGTAAGGGAGGCTGCCCTGGGAGCGTGTCCCTGCGTGGGGCAGGGACGGGGCTGAGTGGTGCCCATCAGAGCAGCTCATGGAGGTGCAGGGACAGCAGAAGCCTTCAGCTCACCAGAAGCACAGTGCTATCATCAGCCTGCTGGAAAGCATTCAAAAGCCCTCAGAGAGAGTGTTCATTTCACAAAAGCTACCTATCATCCTCCAAATGGGCCGGTTTCACACCAGGCTCATTAAGCGGAAATCTGCATAAATTAACAGCAGCTCCTGGTGGCACTTTGCTGGGTTTTCTCAGGCTGATTTGGTGGGCACTGAAGCCAGGAGCAAGCAGGACCTCAATCTTTACACTCCTTTCAAGATGTTTTTATCTGTTGAGGATCCAACAGCAGCTGATAGACTTTTCTCCTTTGGATTTGTGCCAGCAGTCTATCACCTGTCCTTCCTCAAGGCGATGCAAATTCACTTCTCCCTGCCCCGCTGAAGGCACTTCCATTTCAAGGGGATCTGAGTCGGTACAGATGGAAAGTCAGAGGAAAGTGGCCACAAGAAGTGTCCGGGCTTGGACAGCACCAAGCGACTGAATTGCAGGAGTTCAAGAAATTGCAACATGCTGAGCTGCTCTGCTGCTCGAAGGCAATGGGCCATGTCTCCAAGTACTCTTCCATGCTCCTTGCCACAATGCTGAATGGTTCCATCGTTAGCACACGAGCACTTACCAACCATTCACCTCCACATGTCACACATCCCACGCATGGCCAAGCCCTGAATATGGGCAGAAGCACATTTTATTGAATGCACATTTGCCAATTTGCAAGCTGGAGAATGTTACAGCAGGTTCTCCTGGAGCATGTCTAATGTTATTTCCAGACAGCAATGTGTTTTTCCTGCTCCTGCAAGGAGTGACATCGCTTTAAATAGCTAAGACAGACACTTTTTGAGACATTTGCTGGAAATGAGGCAGAATGCTTAGGGGCACCGGGGAGTGGAGCAGGCCAAGCCGGGCACTGCAGGCTGGGATTTGCAGTCCTTCGGGCATCACAGCACAGCTTCTGCCTCCACCAAGGCACAGCTGACTTTTACCCCACACGCAAAAACTCACAGCCAGGGCACCTCCCAGCACCTGGTGATGATGTCCAGGAGGTAGCTGGAGGTCACTGTGGCCAATTTTGTCCATCCACAGCAGATACCATTGTGAGCCAGCCTCACCCAGGCAGTATGTCTATGTGCCATGCCAGGAGAAGGGAGGCAGCAGAGCCAAATGAAGCCCAGATGCTTTATTCCCAAATTCTAGAGACTCAATTCCTCCAGACGCAGCCCAGGGTCCAGTTCCTTTATCCAGCTGCTGGCTTCCTCAACAGGCAGCTTTCCTGCCCCAAATATTTTCCTTGGCATATCCCCAGTGGACAGGAGTTTGCGGGGCCATGTCGTAGCCCTTCCCACCCATACAGAGTAGGAGCATTGAGGAGCAATTGAAAGCAGTGTTTTTCTTCAAATAACTGATTGCTACATAATTAGCTCTTTTGTTCCAGATACACAAACTCAGCTAGCTAATTATAGGCCACCTTGCCAATGGTTTCTCAGTTCTCTATGGGTCTTGTTGCTGGGAGGCACATTAAGCAGCAAGCAAGAAAGGAAAGCTAGAAAACTGCACAGAACTAAATTAAAAAAAAAAAATCCTCTCGAGTTGTCAGTGAGAGCTTTCATTTTATGAGCAGCCACAACAACCAGTGCTTCCATTATGCCTCGCTGATTTGTCAGGCTGTAGGCATAAAGATCAGGAATGCTGCAATCCGAATGACTCTTTTCATGAGCTTTGCACACATAACAAAGACAGAGTTAAAAAAAGAAGAAAAAGAAAATCAAAGCAAGCAATGCTATCCAGCTGTGGTCTATGAAAGTACTTTCAGTTATTGAACTGTGCCGTATTTATCTCAGAGTTAGTGGGCAGGGTTTTTTTGTCCCCCTCCCCTCCCCCCCTCCAATGAGATGGAAGTTGTTTTTCTTTTTTTTTCCCGCTCCCTTCCTTAGCTAACTCTCCATGCAGCAGGGTGTCAAGAAAAGCTTCACAGAGAGCAGATGATGCAGAAAGGCACCACAACAAGGAAGCATTGCAACAGGGAGAGCAGACAAACCTGAGCTTTTTCAACCACGCCAACAGCCCAGCCCCTTCCCCACCTTCCTCAGGGAGCAGTGAAGTGCCAGGCATGTTGGCCAGGGTACGAGAGGCCATGACATCCCACCATTTCACCGTCCTGTGGTGAAAACAGCAGTTTGTCATCCAGAGAGTGGGCTTCGCCCCCAGCCAAGCAGAACTGGTGGCACAAAGGGGACAGAGCCCCTGCCTGGGAGCAGGAGCTGCCAGCTCCTGCACTGAGCCACACTTCGTATGCCAGAGGTGGTCTTGGTTAGGTTTCACATAAACGTGCACGTGTCTGGAGAAGATGAATTTTATCTGACTATAACCCAGAATGGTCGCTGGTAGTAGTCGCTTGTTTGCTTTGGTTTTTAGTGGAAAGTCACTCTTAGGCTGATTTATTATCATTACTAATTTTTTTTTTTTTTTTTTTTGAGTTCTATAATTTAGGGTGAGATCCCCAAATTAAAGGCACTTTTTTTCTTTAAAAATTAGAAGAAACTCTTTTTAGGGGAGTTTTTTTTTTTCCCCTCCTTTTTCAGAAAAACAAAGGAAATGTGGTTTTCTTCTTCTTTTTTTTTTTCCCCTCACAGAAAGAACACACTTTCCACTGAAAAGTGGCTTGGGTAGAAAGTTATTGCTTTGTACGAATGTCAGTGCCTCCAGATCCAGCAGGAAGCAGCACACCTCAGTGACAGCATCTCCTCGATTGCTTCAGAAAAGCCCTTGGTTCAGAAAAACCTGTTTTCTTCAGAAAACAATCACAAAAAAAGCCACCCACAGCCAAGGGCACCAATTGAAAAAGGTTTCATTACAGCTTTGCTGAAAACTTCTTTACTCCAGGCCTCAGAACAAGAGGTCTTCAAGTATAACTGCTTTAACTTGAATGTGCTCTTTAGACCAAGAACCAATTGCATACACGTTTGGCCACTGGAAAATGAGATTATTAAAGATTTATGCATTCAGAAAAGCACTGTACAAAGAAAAAATGAACTTTTGGGAGGGTGGCAAAACTACTTAGATGCATCTGATTTTAAATGAAGTTCTTAATGAAGAATTCTTGCCTTTGGTTGTATCTCTAAGCATTTTTATTTTATTTTAAGGCTCCTTTTACGCCTGTTATTTAAAAGACTTCCCTTGAAGGAATATAAAAGCAGCACTTCTCCTTCATCTAAATTCACAGGACAGAAAAAAAATTAATTCTTCAGTCATTGTCTCTTCGACTCAATCTAATTTTCCTTCAACAACAAGGCTGCCTGATAAGACTTCTTGCCTGCATTGTTTGTCTGCTCCTGATTCCTGATGAGCAAAGACTTCTTTTAGTCTTCTGGGCTCCTGCTATGGGCTCCACCAGGGCCAGGCTGCACGATGACTGCTTGGGTCACCAAGTCAAGTGCCGCTGGACCGGCCTCCTTCCTGCCGACTTCTGCAATTTCAACACAAATGGCTTAGTGTTTGAAGTGCTCCCGTGTTGTTGCAGAGGTCTGAAAGCTTCAGCTCCTAGTGTAATAGTTATGTGACAATTTACTCTTTCATCTTCCAAAAAGAAAAAAGCTTCCCAAAAAAGCATACATAGCAGAGAGCGTGCAGAGACTAGCACAACTGTAGTGCTGCAGTACTTTCTATGTCTGGAAGTGTTGCAACAGGAATAAAAAGTCAGTGAAAAAAACAAGCTTAATTACAAAATCCAATATTTCACAACATAAAAATAACTAAAATGATCTGAGACAGAATAATTCACTCCTTGCTTATCTAGGCAGTGCTGTATCTGATTAGAACTAAATATATGCAGGGGGAGAGATTTCACAAGCATTTGCTTGCTTCTGAAAGCAGGTGGCTTTTTGGCTCCTTCCTGCTTTTTCACCACAAATATCCACCCAATCCAAGTGGAAGAAAGCAAATACCTCAGAGCAAGCTGAATTCAAGGTAGTGAGAGCTCTACCAAAACCACCTTTTGTTGACTTTTGAAAAAGCTGCAGTGGCCATTACCTGGACTTAATTTAAGAGAGGCACCAGTACTTGTGATCTCAAATCACACGCTCAGCTCTGAAATTTGCAGTCAGCATGAGGCAGACCAGTTGTTCTTGAGAAGAGAGTCAGGGAGCGCAATGCCTGTCTGCATTTCATGATCTGTTACCCATTGTCAGCAAACAGAAGACTGCTGAATTAAGCAAGGGCAAAAAAAAAAAAAAAAAAAGTAATTCCTTCCATTGTGATCATTGTGATTTGCTCTCTGTTCTGTACCTTACCTGCCACCAGTTGAGTCAAGGCTCCTTGTGGGGATGTCTGGGGGCTGAATGGAGCTTGTAGCCTTCACTTGCAAATTCAATGCCCCAGTTCCCAAGATCAACAAAAATGCAGGCAAATTTACTGGGCTACTGCTTCAGGCACCACCCTTTATCATGGATTTCCTTCCGTTTATGGATTACTTTTCCTCAGAACACAGATGCTATCTGAATGTGGCTTTCTGCAGTTTTGAAAATGTAAATTTATTCTGTATTTCCAAAGTCGTGAGCTCCTCTTATCTGTATGTTACAGTTATCAGAATAAATACTAGTAGACAAGTCCTTGGAGAGATCCTGTAAGTACTTCAGCCAGTGGCTAATCCAGGCGAGGAATTTCAAAACCTGGATTATTCTTGTATTAATTGCAAGAGATAACCAAGGCCTCATAAGCACAGAGGGGTGGGGAGAGCCTGGGAGGATGACAGGGGGCTTCCTCCTGGGAAAGCAAAGCACCAGTAGAAGAAAAGCCTTCCTCAGGAGTCGAGTGGAAGATGTGACCTCCAGCATCAGAGCTTGAAGCGAAGGCAAAGATTTTACAGGGCATTTCTGTGGTAGTCGGGTGTCTGCGTCTCAAGTAGCAACCCTGCAGTTCCCTCGAAGCCCACCACATGTGTTCCTCAAAGCTTTGCCCTTCCCTAACCTGGTTCTCACCTTCACACCACACAGCTTCCAGCAGGACCCCCCACCTCAGAAGTTCCCCTCAGACACCAGAGGCCCCCAGGCAGCTCATCCCTGCGCCACCACCCAGCCTGCATCAAGCAGCCTCAGCTTCCAAAACATAAAACCATGCCCTAAACCAGTTGCTCCCTTCAGTGGAAGGGGCAGTTATGCCCTTCCCATTGGGGGGAGAAGCCATGAGGGACACCCCTGAGCAGGACGCTCCATCCCCCAGAGCTGCATGCAGCAGAGACCCCTCAGGCCTCATGGCGGTGGGTGCTGCATCTGCTGGCCGCAGCGCTCCGAATTAGACCTGTTGGTGTTTCAGCACTGGAAAAGGACTCTGCAGAAGTGAGCAGGGGCCTTCTGCAATCACCTCTTCCCCAGGCTGCACCCCTACACACTGACACATGCATCAGTGCCTTTGCCACCATACTGCGGCCTCCCCGGCCCACCTGACATAGCTGGAAGAGCTGTGATGCCGGCGGGCGCAGCCCTGTCAGAGGCATTTTCCTTCTCCCCCTTACATAGCAGGGGGGGGACTGGGATCACTTCGAGCAAAATGAGCATTCTCTTTACATTTAATCAGCCTGGTATGTTAATTAAATATGACTTGATTGTAAAGGACATTAATTGAGATTTAAAACAGATACATTTAGGCGTCCATGTAATTAACTCTAAATAACAGAGGCAATAAATGTGAAAGCTTATTAATACAATAACCTTGCAAGGATCATTCGGATATTTCCTCCCCACACCCACACAGCTGCACAGCACTGGCTATCACACGTTACATACCAATTAACATCCTTTCAGAAGACGACACGCGTTTTCAATTAGCTGGTCTCTCACTTGCCGGCTCTGACAGCGGATCTACCTCTGAGCAGAGCCTGTCCCCCTCCGCTACCCCTTGCGGCTGAGCTCTTTGCATCTCCTGCCGCTCCCTACTTCCACGTTAGCTCTGCTCTTTTGATCTGCGTAATTTGTGAAAGAGTTCAACCACCGAGCTTCTTCATAAATGCAGCAGTGAACATCATCAGCTTGGGAACAGGTAGAGAGGCCTTTGATTACCCGATCCAGACTTGGTGTTCAAACAACTAGTTTTTTTTTCTTTGCCTTTCTGTAGACAATAAATTATTCAGGGCATTCCGGCCTGCATCAATTTTTTCTGTTTTGCTGAATGGTCCCCAAAAGGGCAGAACTGCAGAAGCGAAGTCTGCATGCAACAGGAAACACACACACAGCACTTAGAGGCTTCTTTTTGAAGCAGCAACCTTTTTCCCTGTTTCTATCAATATCTTTTTCCCACATGGAAGTCCCCCTTTGAAATAAAATTGTACATGTGGCCATTTGGGTCTAATTATCAGATCCTCAGCTGGATGTTATCTTTTACAGAGGTTGAAAAGCAGGAAAAACGCTAAGTCAAGCCAGTGTATTAACACTTTTCAAAATACATACATCGTTTATCTACCACAGAGATGAGGTTTTGAAGCCTTGTTAATGAATACTAGCCCTCCCAGCTTACTATTAAGGAGCACTGCTTCCACTGGAATTGAAGGAAATTGATAACTGGAAAAGCGGATTTCCCATCCCACAACAGCTTTAAAGATTTCCAAGACTCTTACTTTGAAGAGGGAAAAAAAAGTGAAAAATCTATAAATTTTTATGACTCGATCCTCCAAAAATCACAATGTTTATATTGGCTCGCAGAACTTCTGAGCATTCCCTAGGTATATCATTTTAATATTTGTTAACATAAAAGATTATTTCTAAAAGCAAATTGTATTCAAATAAGAAATATTCAAGTACCCACATTTTCAATACTGCACGCAAAGGAAACACTCTGATTTCCCCGGGGTCTTGGTGGGAGCTGGGACAGCCCCATAGGGATGTGGAACTGGGCAGGAGGTGAGGGAGTGCTGGCTCACACAGTACATGCACAGCACACTCTTCCACAGCTCCAGTGCTCGGAAGCATGTGCCTGTCCCAAGTGATGCCTGCAAGTGCCATTATTCTACTGTGTTTTACAGACGGAGCACGAGCAGACTGAGGCTGTAATCATGCACGCTCTGGGCCAGCATGAGCCAACATCGCTGCCAAACCCCAGGATGCATTCCCACCCCTGCAACACTTCAGTTTAGCAAAGTTAGTGCCAGGGCTGCAAGACTATTTCCCTCTCTCTCCATTTCTTTCCTTGCAGCACAGCTGTGTTGAAGCCTATCACTCGGAGCCAATTCTGCAGAGATTTATTCATTTAAACTAAGACTGAATGAAAATCAACCAAACAACCAGAAAGCAAGCAAAAACTGCAGACCCACTAAGACACGGATCTCCCCACCCCAAAGCCTTCACTGCCTTAAATTGAGTTTGATTAGAAAAATAATCAAGATGTTACAATGAAAAAGTGAGATGTAGATATTTCCAGAAACTTTTCCCTTATTTAAAAAAATAAAGGCAAGATGGTAGGACTTAGCCCAATATCACCAATACACTTGTTTCCTCCAAAATTTATGTTTGATGTCAACTTACTGTTTGCTGGGTTTTGTGGGAAGATTCTGTTCTGCTGCCTCCCTGCGCTGACAAACATCCCGTTGTTCCTGCAGACGGTGGCCTTTTCCTGCATCGTGCCTACACAGCGCAGGTCTCAGCCTCTCATTAACTGTAGCGTTAAGACATCTGCCCATGCGAGCACATCCTTACTGTTCATTTTTACATTGGTTTTGTTGTGTTGCACTTTGCCTTGAGCTCCTGACTCCACCACTTGCACTCTAAACAAGGCATATCTTCCACCCAGGAGCAATTAGCCAGGCAGGTGCAGGCTGCAGGAAGCCAAGAGCAGCAGCTCAATGTCTGCCAGCAGCCTCTTAGCCTGGGAAGTCCTGGGCATCATTCACCTGGCTCTGGCATGCTCCAGTCATCCAAGTGTCCTTCTGGGCCTGGAACAGATCGCGGCAGACCAAGCACCTCTCCACATCCTCAGGGAAGCCCTGAGCTCATCAGCCAGCCTTAGGTGGAGGAGTTTAAAGTCAACAACAAGTGCAGCACGGTGGCTAAAAGCTCCTCTTTCAACTTGCAGTCATGTGCTCTTCTCTTCCCTCCCCTTCCATTTGGCACCAAGGCTCCTTGGCATAAGAGGTACATTTGCACTTCGTGGGGAGCGTTGGCCCAACAGCCATTCCATCTGGCCTGGCTTATTAGGGAAGATGCACCTGTCTTGCTCCCCTGAATTGCAGGATGTCTTTGGCTGGTGTGGGAACTCATCAATCCACCTGGAATACAAAACACCAGTATCAGCTCGGTGCACTGGATCAAAAATGAGAAAGCCTGAGGAGTGCTTTGGATGGTATCACAAAACAAATTTATAGCTATTTCTTATTACCATCCAATCTAACTTATTTTAGGCCTTTTTCCCCCTTTTTGATATGAGAGAAGCTAAGATTGTGTTCTAACTTCAACAACAAAAAGCTTTAGAAAGACCAATACCTATTTAGAAGAAAAGCTACAAAGGTGTTTGGAGGTTCAATAGGTTAAAATAACTCCACTTCCACAGCAGGTGATGACAAGATCCTTATTATTGATTTTTAAGGACAGCAAGTGTTCCATCACCACCTCCCAAAACCTTTTAGGTCTGTTAAGCTCAGCCACAGCATTGTTTAACAAAAGCACAGTCCCAGTCTGGTTGCTCAGGCTTTTAGTCCAGGGACAGGAACACCAAAGATTCAGCTCTTCGCAGACAACTTGGGTATTTCCATTGAGAGCAGTATCAGCTGATTTCCTAAACTGAGTGAAAATATCTATTCTACAGAGCAATTACCTACTTGTCTAACTTTGATTTTAATTGAAGACTGAGAATTTTAAACCAGGAAAGACACCCTTCAGCAAAGGGAACTGCATTAGTACAAGACAGTTCTTGCTTTTCAACACTGCTGCAGCTTCATGCCACATTCCCCCTCCGGCCCCACCAGATAAGATCTTTTGAGTCTCATTTCTAGCACAGAATAAAAGAGTCCAGTGATTAGCACTTACACCAGAGCAACTCAAGTTCACTGGGATTTTAACTCAATCCAAGGCAAAGTGACCCGTTATTAGCTATTTTGGGAAGTGCTCCTACTCCAAATCACACAGCTTTGCATCTGGGGAGTCTTCCTGATGAAAATGGTACAATACTTGAAGAATTCATTTCAAAAGATTTGGTGTTACAGTTTGGCAGATGTGTTGGAAAATGCCTGACTACTCAAGTACAGCATGGTCCACAGAAGCCACACGCTTCCCTCCCCTCTCATTAAAATGGTGCAAAGAGAAAGAAATCTTCAATCTTCTCATACAGCCTTTTCTGAGCCAGCTGGAGAGAAGGGAAATCAGTCAAACCTCTGTCAAGAAATGGGTTGAAATTGGTGCCTGATTTCCAGATTTATTTCCTTCTCTCCTCAACTGCATCCAAATTTGCATATCAGGGGAGATCATTTTTCCTGCTCCCAGCCTTGGAGGAGCAGGCAGGTGTGGGCTAATCAAACACCATTGAGCTTTAGAGCTAAGGACGCTATTGCTGCAGGCTGTGCAGTGTGATGCTCTGCCTCCACCTCCCAGCCATCTGTTGCCTTCCCCATCTTGTCATCTGTATGTATCGATCCATATCTGAACCTGCCACTGCATTAAGGCTCACCTGTCCAACCCTGCAGCTGAGCAAGAGCAGTCATCTTCAGGTGGTCCATAGCTCTGATACCCTCAGAGATTCAGACCCTTGCAGCAACCCTTTTACCCCTGTGGTTTTCAGGTCCAAGTCTAGAAGCCTTCAGGATTCATGGTGAAGGGTTTATTACAGCTGGTTTTAAAATAACTGCATATAGCATGATATTGTCTATAGAGCTGACACCAATAGCCAGCACTGCTGGAAAGTTACATGAAGAGAAGGGAGGGAGTCACATCATGTACAACACCATATATACATGTAGTTATATATATATTATATACATTTAGTTATTATATTGTTATATATATATATAGTTTCCTTCTTCTATCCCCCAAATTGCCCAACTGTTGATACAAATCAGGAAATCAGCATGCTTCATCACGGGTTAAAAAGAAGGGCCATGCAGCTTTTGAAGTTAGATATGCTCTTTCCGAAGTTAAAAAAGGCCAAATAGAAATATAGAGTAAGAAAAGGGCCCCAAGTCAATGCAGAGGAATCGCTGTGAATTCAGATACGTCAATATAGAGCCTCAGCAGAGGAGCCTGGCTCTTGTTTGTGCTGCTCATCGCTTGGTCCCCAAAGGCACGCTGGTGCATGTTCTCTGCTTCTAGAGCTCAGAGAAACTGAGGCAGAGGGAGAGGAGGAATCTGCCTGCAGTCCCTCAGCAGAGAGCAAAGGCAGCAAGAGAACCTAGGGCCCCTACATCAATGTGTCCTTTAGGTCAGCCAGAACACCGAGAAGTTACTGGAATTGGCCACAGGACACTTACTGGCTGGTGATGGATGAGGAACAATTGACTTGCTTTCCCACCGTCCCCAAGCAGAGGCTGTGCAAAGCTCTGCCAGCCCCCAGGCAGGTGTTGATGGCTCGGGAAGGAGATGTAGAAGGAGGGGATGGGTGTGCCAGGAGTCACTAATTCACTGTGCTCACCAAACCCCAGCATGTGACAACTGAGCCGGCCAGACTGGGTTTTGTGAGCATTGTGCAGGCATCCAAGAAGAAATAAGTGGAGCAGCAGCTTCAAGTGGTGAATTGGCAATGAATGAGAATGGCTTAATGTGGAGGATCTTATCAGAGACATGGAAAACATTCTTCAAAGGCTCCCAGAGAGTCAAATTACTTTGGAAAATGATGCCACTAAGACTGGAGGAAGAGGGCACTAAACCACATCCTATTACATCCTGTGTCCTGTCTCTGCAGCATAGACCTGTGGAGTCTCCTTCTCTGGAGATATTCAAAACCTGCCTGGACGTGATGCTGTGCAACCTGCTGTAGGTGACCCTGCTCGGCACAGGGACTGGACTAGGTGATCTCCAGAGGTCCCCTCCAAACTCAACCATTCAGTGATTGCATGACCCAGCACACTGAATTTGAGATGAAAGCCCCAGGATTTTGTTACCACAATAAGCCTGCTGCCAACCTTATTCTAAAGCTCCCAGGTTTGCAGGGGGTACGGAGACTGCATGTTTGGGTGCCCTGTTTAAATCCAGAGAACTGGCTGATGCTGTGTGGTACCGCACGAACCAACTTCATCTGTCAGTCCTTCTGCTGCTGCTGCTCAGGGATACACACAATACAAGCAGGAAGGCAAAAAAAAAAAAAAAAAAAAAAAAGACCAGAGCCTATCTCCATACCTGACAGCAATGCTCCTTTTGCTAGACACAGCTCAGAGCTTTGTGTTGCGAGTGTTTGTGCTCTGAAAGCACAAACCTGAGGATTATTGGGTCTCCTTTGCTAGCTGATCACCAGAATGATGATGTCCTAAGCCTGCATATGCCAACAAGGGCCAGGAGGACAACTGCTAACACCAACACGATTCCTCCCACCCCTTGGCAGCCCCAATGGGGCTTTGAACCACGCTCCAAGTGCCACTGCCCTCAGGATGCCCAGACCCCAATTCCAGGGATCCCAGCAGACTCAGCCTGCCGCTTACAGCACCTCAAGCACTCAGTGCTGCTATATTTACTCACACATGGCCAGGTGCTTGCAGAATAGATGCTATCATTGCTGTTTAAGCTCCTAGATAACTACTCCAGTAGGACAATCGGTGTACAAGCAATTCTGATGAGGCCGTTAGATACGCTGCCATCAGTGCTAATCAACACGACTGGAGTTGTTGAATGTACTTGCAAAGTGCTCCCGTCAGCTCCACGAAATAACGCAAAACCCATGTTGCCTTATAATTTCCCTTGCAAATTTATCACATCCGGTGAAGGTATGAATTCCCTATTATGTCCAAAAGCTGTCAAAAAAAAGGGCCTATTTTCTGCTTAACCATAAGCTGTGATGATGGGTATTGCGACAGCTCATTTTCTATAACGAGCTCATCACTGTAAAATAGCATTAGAGATACGGCAAAACACAGGAATTGAGCTGCTCTGCAACGTTTCAGCCTTGTTAGCACCACCTCACACCAGCAGCCAGCTCCATGGTCACTGCTAGCCCAGCAGACCCGTTAGCAGCAACTGTGCCCGAAGAGATGGGACAGCACTTTGGGTGGAAGCTCATCCCGTGTTTGAAGAGGCACAGAAACATCCCAGCAAGCACTTCTGATGAGTGTGATTGTGCAGCATTGTGACTACGTGAAGCACAGGCTGCTGGCAGAGCAGGATGCAAGGCAGGTGCAGCACCTGGAGCAGACCGTGCATTGCCAGAACTGCTCAGGTACATGGTTTGTGGGCCCACCTGCACACTCCTTTAAATGGCACGGCAAACTTAGGGCCTCTTTCTGTTCTCTTTGACTAAAATGATTAATTAAACAACTCATGGCTCTTTGGCTGAGAACACGGACTCTTTTTTCCCCAGTGGGTTTCTGATTCAGTTCAAGTGTGTCCCTGTAACCTACCAGAGCTCTACTGGGTATCAGTGGTGATGTGGACAAATCCCTACATGTGCTGCCTTCATCTCTGGGGGTTTGGATACAAGCCCAGCAACTTCATCTCAGGATTGAGGGCTCTGGAGGGCACTGCTCAGCTGCTTGGGGCAAAAGGCATCAGGACTTGGTTTGCATGTGCTGAGGCTTGCCCTCTGTTGCAGGAGCTCAGCATGCTCAGAGTCCAAGGAGTGCTCTGCACAGGTTAAGGGACGCAGCTCCAGGAGCAAGGACAACCTTGTCTGCAGTGGGGCTTCTCTGCACTAACACAGTGCTGGTCATCAACAGCAACACACCAGAGACGTGAAACCAAAATCCACCTTTCACCAGGCTGAGGAACTACCTTCTGCACTTACACCCCACTCCTTCACCCCACCCAACTAACACACCGAGCTCTTGCAGACCTGGGCCCTCTGCAGGGAGCAGATAGCCCACAAGTCCAACCACAGATGGTTTTTCCTACATCATCTCTTTGGCTTCAGACATGCAAGCATAAAAAACACACAGAGAGCCTGCCAAATGGCACGATTCAAATCCTCTTCCCTTCCAACCTCCATCAGGTCTCAGCAGTCATCCCCCGCAGCCTTCAGACCATTACAGGCTACTTGATTACGTGTCGATGATAGCCAAGAGCGCACCCCAACCCCAACAGCCTGCAGCACAGCCAAGCCCTTACAGCCCACAAGAAGAAACTAGATTCTGATCCA